TCGAAACTTTATATATTTTTTATTTATCCCTTTTCATTAAACATACGAACGACAATATGGTGACGATAAAGAAAAGAAAAAATAAATAAATAAATAAAGGAAATCATCATCCAGCGACAAAAATATTTCGAATTTACGATCTGAATGGATCATTAAGTTGATTTTTACAAATTAAAAGATATAACAAATTTCGATTCTATCTTTCTCTCTCTCTCTCTCTCTCTCTCTTTCTCTGTCTCTTACTCTTTCTCGTTAATTAGTATTAGCGAATAAATGTTATATGAAGTTCATTTATTTTATTCTTTTTTTGAACTCTTTTCTTTTTCTTTCTCTTTTACATATGAACATCACTCGTTCGTTCAGGTGCGTATGTACGTAGGAAAAAAAAAAAAGAAGAAGAAGAAGAGAAAGAAGACACTAAAAAAAAAAAAGAAAATAGAAAAATGAGAAATAAAACAAGAAAAAAGAAAAAAAAGAAACGCGTGGTGAAATATGGCCGATCGGGATAGCATGAAAAATACGGTCCCTTCAAGTGTTAATTTTGATATATGGTTTGTAGGATGATCGAAGTGTCTAAAACGAAAAAGAAAAGATGAAGGAAAAAAAGGAGAGAATAAAAGAAAAACTAGAAGAAGAAGAACGAGAAAAAAAAAAAAAAAAGAAAAGAAAGAAAGAAAAAAGGCCAAAATAAATAGATAGACGATTGTTCCTCCAATCGCAATGGAAGAAACCATTGAAAATGATTGGAAGAAGCGTCATTATTTTGCATCGTTATGTCTCCTCTTTTTTCTTTTTTTTTTTTTATTTCAGTTTTTATTCCTTCCTTGAAATTTTATTCCCGTCAATTCGATTCGAACTTACGTAGTTTCTCGATTCAAAATCGTAAAACGAGTCCCTCGAATATATCCTTTTGTCGTCTTGATGGCTCTTGAAACCTACGTAGGACAGGACATTCGACGGACCCTTTACAATAGGATTGCACATTTTGCTTTGGAAGATACTCAAGATTCATTGTGAGAAAGACCGGACACACTTTTCGATTCACTCTACCGTAAATTCTCACGTACATACTTCTACAACTTTCTTTGGATTCATTCTTAAAATTTGAAAAAGCTGCGACGAGTTTCCGATAGTTTTTACAAAGAGAAAAAATTGGAATCAAACGAGAATCGAAAGTGTCCATGTATTGTATAATAAAAAAAAATATATATATATATATATATCTGTAAAAAAATAAAATGGCGTAACCACCACATTCAAAATGAAAACGGAAACGAAACGAAAAAATAAAAGTAATATATATATATGTGCTCTCTTCGAATTCGTTTACGTGGAAAGAAAAAAAAAGTTAAAAAATACAATAAATAAATAAATAAAAAAAATAAATAAAAAAAGAATATGAATATTGTTGACTCGTCGTAACGATAAATGCGATAACGAAATATTAAAAAAAAAAAAAAAAAAAAAAAAAAGAAAAAAAGAAAAAAAAAAAAATATCAGAGAAGGAAAAAAGCAAAAAAAAAAAACTCACACACACACACACACATAAAAAAAAGCAAAAAATTCATCGAACATAAAGCGTACGAAAAAAGAACGCAAAGGAGGGAAAAAATCGAAAAAGAAAAAAAAAATAACAAGAAAGAGGGAAAGAGAGAAGAATAAGAGAAAAAAAAAGAAAAGAAAAGAACGAAAAAATGAAAAAGAAGAAAAGAGGAAAAACGTTTTACGGTGTGAATATATTTAGTTAGTTAACGGCCGAGTGACTTTTTATTATCACACGAATCTCATAACTTCTTGGCTTTAAATGATCATCGATCGATTCCTATGTATGCACATAGTTAACGCGACGATAATTAAAATCCGAAGATACGTTAATTAAAATTCGAACAACGTTTATATAACCATACAATATCATGATCAAATGTATTTAATGATAAGAGAAAGAGAGAGAAATATACGTATGTATACAAACAATATATTATGATGAATATCGTACGATACAAGACAAAAATCAAATATTCTTATTTTTCGTAATTGATTTGCTATAAGCAAATTTATATGGTTCTGCAGTATATAACCCACTCCATTACCATTCTGCGGTATTCTTTTGACTAATGTCAAATTTCTTCATATTTTCCTCGTGTAATTGCTATCCAATTGTTTGTTCTTTTATATATCCCTTTTATATACCCCTTTTATGTATCTTTTTCCCTCTCTCTCTCTCTCTCTCTTTTTCTGTCTGTCTGTCTTTATGTCTCTCTGATAGTCTGTCTGCCTGTCCGTCAGTCTGTTTGTCTGTTCGTCAGTCCTGCTTGTCTGTCCTTCTCTTTTATCCTCATAACACGCCACCCACTTTGTGTTATCTCTCGGAGAACGGAGAAGTACTCGTTGAATGTTGGTAATACGCCAGAAAAGCATGGAAATTACGAGCTTGCGAGATCCGTCAGCTAGCTCGACTCTATTGGCCAAGAAAATCGAGAATGCGATGGGAAAAACATAAGTAAGTAAATAACTGTATGTATGTATGTATATATATATATATATATGTATGTATATATGTGCTGCTAATCCAAGAAAAAAAAATTTCTACATTTCTGAGGAGAAAAGAAAAGAATGGAAAGAGAAAAGACGGAGATGGAAACAGATACAGAGATAGATAGATAGATAGATAGATAGATAGATAGATAGATAGATAGATAGATAGAGATAGAGATAAAGAGAGAGAGAGAGAGAGAGAGAAAATGTAGAGTAAAGGTCACAGACGAGATGTTCCAAGTTAAACTATGCGGAAACTTGATGTATCTTCGTTTCTCTCACAAATCAAATATACCAGTATATCTAATAATAATAATAATAATAGTAATAGTAATAATAATAATAATAATAATAATAATAATAATAATAATAATAACAAGAGAATTTTATATGATAAATCTAATTAGCTGAGGAAATCAAATAATTATGACAACAACAAAACAAAATTGAGATAATTTCGATCGTATTATCAAGCAACGGAATTATGCATCATTATGCAACATTTATCAATGCCTTTCAACGTTACTCAATTACATCTAAAATCCATATTACATGAAAGCTTAAGAAAAATCAGTAATTTTCCATTTAGCGTTTAATCCCCACGTAATATCTACAATTTGTTATTATAATCTAATAACAGTCATAAAAGTATGAAAAACAAAATGCTTGATGAAGATAAACGTGATTTCTTTTTTTCTCTCTTTTTTTTTTTTTTTTTTTCCTTTTCTTTTTTTATTGCTAATCTCTTACACAAATCTAAAATAAGATCCAACAAAACAACGATAATAAACAATAAATAATAATAAATAACAATAATATTAAAGCTATAATATTGAGATTTGTATAATTATATATCAAGGATAAAACGATGATAATTAACTGATGCTAAGCTAAGATATCACTGAAAATGTATGAACAATTATTATCACAAGGTGTCATGAGCAAAACGTTTAATATAGCTCCTAGAAGGATTCACAAAGCATGGAAGCTTCTCTCTATCTTTATCTCTATCTCCATCTCTATCTCTATCTCTATCTTTATCTATCTCTATCTATCTCTATCTCTCTCTTTCTCTCTCTAAGGAATGCTTTCACGTAAGAGACTCTCAGGATTCTGGTTAAAGGTGGTAGCGTACGTTAACGCGAAGTAGAGCTAAAGGGGTTTGCTTGGTGGATAGAGGTTTGGGACTATGAAAGCTCTAGTCTCGTATCTATACGATATATACCCACATCAGTTCACCCAACGCCGTTACCTATCCCTATCCACCCCTTACCACCAACCCCCAACACATTCTCCTCCTTCTCTCTTATCCCCTCCCATTTCTCAAGAATTTATGAGCCAAGTAACTGCCAGATAGGAAAGCTCATAGATCTCACTGTTGGTGTCAGAATTTGCGCTAGGGACGGTTCCTATGGATCTGCTGGTCTAGCGCGTCTCAAACGTTACGTATCTCTCTATAAGGGTTAAGTAAATGTCCCTCTCTAAATTGAATAAATGATAGTAAAAAAAGAAGAAAAAAAAAAAAGAAAAAAAAAAGAAAAGGAAAGGAAAAAGAAAATTTATCGGACGTAAGATGAAAGTATTTGTCTTGTAAAATAGAATTTTATTAAAAAAAGAAAAACGAAAAAAAAAAATATATATATATATATATGCATATATATGATATATAGTACGAATCTTTTGTAATTTTTTGAAGTGAATATCCCATATCTATTAGACATGATATAGATACAAAAAAAAAAAAAGAAAAAAGAAAATAAACAAAGAAAAAAATTCAATCAATCGTAGCGCGCAAAGGATCAATCTCTCAATCCTTTCTCGTAATAATCTTTAATCGAATAATAATTCCTCTCGAAAGGATCATAAGAAATATTTTACAACGTCGATTCTAATGATCATAATAAATTTAATTCAATTACATCCACGAATTAATGCACTTAACCGACGACAATTTTTTAATATTAAAAATTAATCAAACAAGTTTGACTCAATCATTGAGAAAAATTCTTTAACTCAACAAAGAATACTTGTTCTCGATATTGCAAAAAGAAAGCCTATTCGCAAACATCGAGAATCGTGGGACAAAGTTCGATAACTCGTATTCCGATTCGAAAAGAATTCCTCATGGTCCTTCGACGCCTCTTCATACTTTTCTTCCAACTTCTCAATCCTCCGCAATCCTCCCCTTCAATCTTCTCTCTCTCTCTCTCTCTCTCTCTCTCTCATTCACTCTTTCTTACTACCCGCTACCCTTCCCACTTCTATCTACCATCACCCACGTTTCAACCGTCATGAGAACCATCCCTTTGTTCTATTTCCTTTCCCCTATCTTTCTTTCTTTCTTTCTTTCTTTCTTTCTCTTTCAACCTTCCTTTTCGACGAGAGAAAAAAAAGTAATTCCGATGTCTCCATGCTTCCAGTTTTATCATTTCCCTTTTGCATAAGAATTTGAATGAAAGTTCGCTCGAATAAGAATCTCTCTCTCTCTCTCTCTCTCTCTCTCTCTCTCTCTCTCTCTCTCTCTCTCTCTCTCTGTCATTCTTTACGTTTCGTATAATTTTCGAAGTCGAGTCTGAAGATCGAGTCACCGTTATTCTGGTTTTTTCTTTCGTTGGAAAAAAGAAAGAAAAAAAAAAAGGAAAAATAAAGGAGGAAAAGAGAAAAGAAGAACGAAAATATAAGAAGACGTTAAGAAGGCATTAGACACGTTGTAAGTAAAGATATATACGGTATCGGGGATGGGAAAGGAAAAAAGAAAAGAAAAAAAAAAAAGAGGGAAAAGAAGAAAATATGTTCGAGAAAAAAATAATTCCTACGTAAGCCGAGCTATTCGAGATGGAATGGAATCGATTCGTTCGTTCGTTCGTTCGACGTTAAAAAGCAGATAATACGATGGGTATCATAGAAATGTGGTTTAAGGAACTACGCATGCACGTTTCAATGGAACATCCATTTATATCACCTTATAATATGTTAAGGGTGTCCCATTTGAATCGTATCGCATCGCATGATTTTCAAAAGGCTCCTATATTCTCGATCGGAAATATGAATCGATAATGATATCCCATGATTGTACTTGACGTAAAAATGTTGATATAGATCGTTCGAAATTCTTAATGGGGGGTGGAATCGTAAAGGAAAATGAAAAAGGAAGAAAGAAGGGAAGATAGAAAAATTTTTAATAATATTATTTACATTATATGATCGACATAAAATCTGGAACATCGTGTATTTACTTAAAAACCTGTCGTTTCTTATCACCATGAAAATGTAATATAACGGGATTCAATAAAATCTTATCAGACGAAATATCATTCGCCTGTATGCATTTATGTTTTCCTTCGTTCCGCCTTCATAAATATCATATCGAAATATTTCTCTTTCTTTTTCTTTTCTTTTTTATATTCTTCTTTTTTTTCTTATACATATATATATATATATATATTTTTTTTTTTACGACATCGGGTCACCAAACGCAAAATTTTTGTATCGTCTATTCCTTCACTTCATTTCATATTCCTGCTTTTACATTTTTTACTTTCCCCTTTACTCACCACGAAAAGAGGATACAGGGTGAAGTTTGCTTTGCTCGACGAGAAAGACAAAAATCGTCTTCGTTCGAAATGAAAAATTTTGAAAAAGAAAAGATAAAAGGCAAAAAAAAAGAAAAAAAGAAAGAAAAAAGAGAGAGAAGAAAAGAAGAAAGATCAAAGATAAAAAGATCAATGATGAATTCAAATGAAAATTATATTCGAAAAATATTATCATCGAAACATATATATGTACGTGTATATGTCGTAGATAGATAGATACGGATTCGTGAAAATATTCACCTAAAGTAATATTCCTTTTCTATATAATGAAGAATAAAATTTGAATGAATAAAATTTTTCTAAATTTTTCTCATCAAAGGATTTGATTATTTTTCTAAGATCAATGAACATTTTCTTACCGAATCTATGCTAATTCAAACGATAGGAAAACGTTCGAATTATTCGAGTCCAAGAGTTACGTGAAACTTGTACGATAACGGCGTCCTGATTTATACATCGTGCCTGACTCCAAATGAATCCAGTTACTAACACGGTGCACATACATACACACACACACACACACACACATGTATGTGTGTACGTGTAGATATATACACATATATATAAAACCATAAGATTTTCCACGTATTTTCTTTAACTTCTATAGTTATCCAACGAAATATCGAACTTTCCCTATATAACAATAACCAAGTGATCTCGAATAGAACGTGAACAGAATTTGCAAGAAAAAAGAAAAAAAGAAAAGAAAAGAAAAGGAAAAAAAAAGAAATTCTGTTTCTTGTTTGACTTTTTTTTCTTTTTCTTTTTCAAATAAATCAGATTCAATTTAAAATTGCGGTATTATCTCCTTTCGAAGGGCAATAGCGTTCGTTAGAAGAAAAAAGCTAACGTCGATACGAAAAAAGAAGAAAAAAAGGAAAAAAAAAAGAAAAAAATAATAACAAAAAAAAAAGAAACCAAAACAGAAATTAAAAAAAGGAAAAATAAAAAATCAGAGAGAGAGAGAGAGAGAGAGAGAGAGAGAATATCGAATCGTTTTTACTATCATCCTACTGGTAGCTTAATCGAAATCAAGAGAATCCATTAGCTAAAGAGTAGAATGAAACAAAAGAGAAAGAGGAAAACATGTAACGTAAACGTATTTTACATGCATATACGTACACACGTACCACGTATACGTAGACACACGCACATACACACATACACACACACGCTTATATATCAGAGAGATATTTTGTTCAAATCGAAATAGTATTTCTGGTTTGAAACGAAAACACGTCGTGCTTTGTTGCATCATTCTCTGAACGAACGAACCACCACTTTCTCCCATTTCTGCAACCATCCCTCCCTCTTCTCACATCTATCCCATCCCTTCTTTTCTTCTTTCTACTATAGAGTGCATTATAACAGG